TATTACCAGGCCGATATCGGTATCGGTCGATATTGGAATTGGGGAATACGTTTTCTAAATTCTAAATATTTTTGTTTCTTCATAAAGAAATGAACAGAACAAAAATGGACAGATCAGTTCAACTCGACACTGTTCATTATAAGAGAATTGCTTATAATTTCTATTTACTTTTGCCATTAACTTAATCCTTGTTGCCAACATGACAAAACTAAATCACCCATAAAAGTGACTGGACATTCTTTGATAACCTACGAGGACAAAAGATGACCCAGAAACGCTCCCTCAAACCAGACAGGACACTGGCTCTGAGTACAGCTTCAGACAATAGCAGCAGAATGATTGCATAACACACCGACCTGAACTCACCTCCACTGCTTGTTAGAAACTGAGTTATGGTTTTACTGTAGTTTCTCATGGCAGACATCTTGACAGTTTGACTGGGAGAGTGGTAAAATAAACAGAGCAGTCTGACATCAGCTCATCATTAATATACTGTATATATATTCACATATATGTATATATGAATATGTATGTGTGTATATATCTATGTATAAAGTATATTACGTCTGTAAAAATTAAGTTGTTAATCAAATTAATTTGTAAAATTAATTAGATTGAAATTTTAATAGTCGAATGCTGAATGACGTACACTAATATATTCTCATGTATATATTAGTCATGATTATTTGTGATAAATCCACACTAATCTGTGATTGGTGAGATAAATATTTTGACTGACAGTCCATATATTATATATTTTTTATTTGAATTTGAAGTCATTTATTATTATTTTAATTTTAAACAATACAGTACAAATTTAAAATATATGTAAATCAACCAAAAAAATGTATAATCCCGGATCAACCGCCATAGAAGACAGGTTTACCATCAGCTGTAGTAATACAGTCAGTTGTTGCAGGTGAACACAATAGTTCCTCGTGACTAATACCTGACTTTTACCAATGAAGAATCAGAATAATTCATGTCAGTGGAGGTTGAGGTATGTGTCTGTGTGCACTGACAGCACTTTTCATTTAAAACCTCATGCCTTTCTGTATAACGTGCTGTTCTTCAGCATGTGTTTCCTGTTCTTGTTACAATTAATTGATTGGACAATTTAACACTGCGGTCGCCCTCCCCTGTCCTCTCCCCTCCCCTCCTTTTCTCTCCTTTTGCAGTTTTCCAGATTTAAAAAAAATGGCCGTGGAGAAGCGCCTGGCGTTCTCTATTGTGCAGTTTCTACGAGATCAAACACACTGCGGTGCTTTAAATTCTGACGAGCAGGAGAGTCTGGAAGGTAGGTCATAGAAACTGTCCACTCCGTTAACAACTAATATAACGATGGAAAAATAAAAAAAACTGTGGATTAAACTGAACCTTGCTACAGTGTGTAGAGTATTTATGGACTGGGGATTTATTATGATATTCTTGTTGCCAAATGTTTTTCTTGCCGTCATAACATCAGTCCACAGAACACGTAAAGTGACTGGTGTATTTTCCCTTTTATTCATGTGACCCTCTTCCTCCTGCAGTGGCTATACAGTGTTTGGAGACCACTTTTAAGATCAGCTCCAGTGACTGTCACCTGGCTGCACCTCAGCCTCTCACTGAGATATTCCTCAATTCCCTGCTGAAGGTTGGTGCTCCACGCTTCCAGGCACCTGCACTGTAATACAGCAGGAAATTATATCAAGTTATATGGTTATGAGTTTTTGTCAAGGCACAAGGCTCACGACATGAGACTGTGCAGCATTCAAAGCTTATGGAGCGTCACAATACACAACTACAGATACTGGACCGTAGGTTTTGAAAAAGTACAAAAGACGTATTCACTTCCCTGCACTCAGTAAGGCTGCTCTGCAGACTGGATTTGAAACAAAAAAAATCCTGGGTATATAGAGCACATCGTTCTGCCAAAATGCATTTAAAATTAACCTGATTAATTAATGTGACGAGCTCGTTAATACCGTCAGCCCTGATATATAAAGGTGTGTGTTTGTGTCCCATAATTTATCCCAATGCTCTGCATTTGTCCAGAATGACAACATAACCATACCAGAGTGCTCTCCGTCTCCAGAAGACATTGAGCGAGCAGAACAGCTGAAGAACGAAGGTAACAGACTCACATTCTCATGTAAAGGCAGCTTTTTGACAATTGTGTGACCTACTTTATTTATGTTTTTATAATAAAATATGTTTTTTCTTATTTCCCGAAAAACAAGCCGTAAAAACTACAGTGGAGAAACATTTAAATCACTAATGGTTTGACATTTATGACTTTTGTCACATTATTTTACAGATTAAATGTAGCCACTATGTTAATTTGCCTTTTTATTTTTAGTACAACAGCAAAAAAAGGTACAATTCGATAATGAAATGTTAGTTTTGAGTAAGAATTAGAATCAGAATCAGATTTATTTGTTGATCCTAGGGAGGAATTATTTTGTATTATAAACAAACTCCTGATGTAATATATACAAATACAAAAAATCCTAAAAAAAAAAGTTAACATTTAATACAATAAAACAACAGAACTGTAGCAGCGTCCCAAAAAATAAATCTCCAGCATCTGGACAATATAGTGAGACTGAGAGGAACAACAGCAGCAGTCACTCTGTAATAACGGCAGCATGAAATATGAAAACAATAGCAGCTAAAGGGTGACCTTTGACCTTCTCAGAATGTCCTATCTTTGTATTTTGGTATTTTATGTTTCAGGGAACAACCACATGAAGGAGGAGAACTACAGATGTGCAGTGGAGTGCTACACTAAGGCTATTGATCTGGATCTGAGAAACGCCGTGTACTACTGCAACAGGTATTTATAATACACCTGGAAACCTGTCGTTGTTGTTGAAGCTAATGCGTCAACGGTGTCAGTAGAAATGTTATAACATTTTATGACACAGCTCTCTGCCAGTGGAGCCAATCACAGCACCAGTCCGTCACATGACCAGGTTCAGACAAACAACCAATCACACACCGAGTCATGCTTACTATATAGTCAAATAAGAGTGTCCAGTTGACACTGATGCATGTGTTAGGACTGGGAGATGAAGCACAAGGAAAACATGCAAACAGCTGTTTGAGAATAGAATAGAATAGAATGGAATAGAGCTGCTGAGAATAGAATAGAACAGAGTAGAATAGAATAGAATAGAAACTGGAGTACTGCATTAGAAAGTCTGGAGTGGTCATGGGAGAATTACTGTGCAGGATTTGAGAATGAAACAGGATTTGCTAGTCAGGTGGGAAGCGTGTCGTCTGATTGACAGATGGGTTCAGAGTGAAACAGGAATCTTTTGAACCCTAGCGTCAGCAGATGATGTTGAAAGGGTTGAGGTCTGCAATGAAGAGAGGAGTGGGCAGCAAGTGTGAAAGAATAGGTTTATAAGAGGGTAGTGAGATCTGCTATGATGTGTGGTTTTTGGATGTAAAAAAAATAAATAAAACAGGAGGTGGCAGTGTTGGAGATGCTAAGTTTTTTTGTGCAAGTGACCAGGATAGACAGGATCAGAAGGAAGTGAAGGAGGGAAAAAAGGAAGAACAGGAAGAAGTTCTTCCTGTTCTTACGTTCTTAAATAATGTGAAAGCTCTGGATTTAAACCTAATTTGACCGTTTGTCTCTGGTTGCAGGGCTGCAGCTCACAGTAAACTGGGCAACTACACAGAGGCCACATGCGACTGCGAGAGAGCCATTGGGATCGACCCCACTTACAGTAAAGCATATGGGCGGATGGGGTAAGTGTGACTGTAAGAGAAGAGGTTTTTTATGATCCGTTCTTTGCTACTCTGTGCTCCATCACTCTCCTCTTCGTGTCTCTAGTCTAGCTCTGACAGCCACGAACAAATACCCAGAGGCAATTTCCTACTTTAAGAAGGCATTGGTGCTAGACCCTGAGAACGACACGTACAAATCCAATCTGAAGATAGCAGAGGGGAAGCAGAAAGAAGCGAGCAGTCCAGTAGGTTCATTTATGTTATAATGTGTTTTTTTACACCCTTTGTACATGCAGTAAAATGTGTTTCCTTATAATTATGATTATTTTTTTGTCTATTTTTGTGTACGACAGGTAGCAGCAGGACTGGGCTTCGACATGGCCAGTTTGATCAACAACCCTGCCTTCATTAGCATGGTAGGGGAACAGCACACGTCGTCAGCATTGTGTCAGGAAAATATTGCTCCTTGAAACATTTTTGGAGGGCAGGGTGGGGGGGCACCTCTGACACTGTACAGACATTTTACTACATCAGTCTGACCAACCTGACCAGCACTGCATGTAAAGATTGTCTCTCGTCTTCTTTCCTCTGTGAATTCCATAAATGGACCTGAGTGCATGAATCAATAATTTATAGTGTAATGGGAGTCCATTACCTTATATGTGCAGCACAACATTCTTTATCCTGATTTTATCCTGATTCGACATTTAGATATATAATTAATTTATTCTGGAAGACTTTATTTTCCCAAAATCAGACTTTTTACTTTGACTTTGTTGAATTCATGTTAAACACACACACACACACACACACACTGGGTCAACTAATCGTAGAACTAATTAAAAAAATCTTACCCAAATACAATTGTGTATTTTACGCAGTTTCTTCTATGTGAATATTATATAACAGTACTACTAATACTCATGCTAATAATAATATAATAATTATCCATGTCTGTTTGTCTTATGTTTTGTAGCGCTTTGGTCTACAATTTAGGATGTTTGTAGATGGAAATATGTTCTATTAGAGGATAGACCAGTAGGTGGCAGTCATCAAAGCTCAGATGATACATAACTAACCCTTGTAGCAGGTATAATTTTAGCAGTAAAGATCAGCCCGGCTGAGCCTTGGAAAAGACTCCCAGATGAAGGCTGATTTAAAGATGACTCATTAATTTTTAAAATCCTAAAATCTACATTGTACACAAATATTACAGTCATAAATATTCTCATAAATCATCTAATGATGTCAGAGGATTTCAGCGTTGTTTCTCTTGTTACAGGCTGCCAGTGTGATGCAAAACCAACAAGTACAACAGCTGTAAGTGATGAAATGACGGTCACTTTAAAACCAAGTGTTTTTTCATGAACACTCACTGTGTCACTGACTCACTGCCGCTGTCTTCCTGTGTGGTCAGCATGTCTGGAATGATGTCCAACGCAGTGGGGGGGCCTGCAGCTGGAGTGGGAGGACTCTCGGACATTTCCAGTTTGATTGAAGCGTAAGTCAACTCACCGCCAGCACGGAATCTTTCTGCAATCACATCAGAAATACAAAGCTACATAAAAAACAAATAAGAACACCTTAAAATAAACGATGCTTATATAAGTGGTGAAACAGCGACCTCATCTGTTTTGACAGGGGACAACAGTTTGCTCAGCAGATCCAGCAGCAGAATCCAGAGCTGATTGAACAGCTGAGGAACCACATCCGGAGCCGCTCCTTCAGTGGCAGCGCTGAGGAACACTCATGATCTAATCAGGTATTTAGACATGTAGTATCTGTTGGTTGTATTTACATGTTCAAATACTTTTATGTTATTGTATCATTTCATATTGTACTGCAGCTGTACCAGTCCAGTGCTGTAAGTTGTGTGATTCATTTAGAACTGTTGTTACACAGTGACACATGGAACACTGATAATGAACAATGGCTTGTTCAGTCAGTGGTTCCCAAAGTCGGGAGCGGGGGCACAGAGCCATTGGAGATGGGGTGCAGCAAGACCAATTCATTTCAGTGTTTATATATATATATATATATATATTTCAGTGTTTTTATATATATATATATATATATATATATATAATTAAAACACTGAAATGAAACATACAGAGCGTTTACAATCTCTACACCCATTTCTTAGAGACCCAGTGTGTTGACAAGAGGGGACGAGGACGGGTTCGAAGGCACTTTACTGTAACTGAAGGCTGCGGAGGGCGGAGGAGACCAGAGCCTGGAGACTGGACCATGAACTGAAACATCCCACATTTAGGGCAGAATATATGGTGAACACTTCATCGAAATAAACCATAGACCAAACCACATTCAGCTTATTGACAGAATTTGACCAGATACCTTATACAGAACACAGATGTGTAGTGTTTTATATGTGGTGACTCTAATCGGTGTCATGAGCTACAAGTTAGTCATGTCACCATGAACGACCGATGGAGGGGTGCGGGGGATGTCGTTTTTCAGCGTTGAAGGGAACATTACAGCTTTGTCTCATACGGTGCACATTAAACATCAGGTTTACTCTGTTTATACCGTGTTGTGTATAGACAAACAGAACAACTCGTCTTCTTTTATAGTCGGTCATGGTGCACTCGTCACTGCTTCTCCATGAGGGAGACTCCACCTTTACAACTCTGTAGCTGTTGCCACGGTGTTTGCTGCCTGCATTATGTTTTTGCACTTTAGCAGATTTCCTCTTATTCCAGACTCTGTTTCATTGTTAACTATCCCAGGAAGAGGAAACTATTATTTAGAATGTTTTTTTTGCATGCACCATAATCTGGTATTTGAAATCAGATGCTTCACATAAGCTACCGGTAGTAGGTATGTTAGAACAGCAACATGTTTTGTCTAAAATATGTGAATAAATGTCTGAAATGTGTCACAGCTCTGTATTGATCTTGAATCCAATCTATGAATCGTTTACCCCGATACCAGTATTTTACTATGTATACGACTGTATGAGGGAATGCAGTTCCTAATGTGTTATGTAACTGGATTTTCACTGCCAGTCTGAACTAACAGACATACTGTACATCAGTATCTGTCACTCACTAACACAGTGGTGACATCATAATCCAGGACATAAAAACATCAGAAGAGTCTGACTTAAGCATGAAGGGCAGAACTTTCCCCCCAAAAAACAAGACAAACAAAAGAAAGGAAATGTAGCACAATCCATTGTAAGGCGTACAACCGGCAAATGTAAACAACACATTCCACAAAATATCAGTTAAACTGAGGATAAAATTGATTTAAAAAAATAAGTTCAACAAAATTAACACAGCCAGCTGACCAGAAAGTGAGCAGAGCTTTTAACACAATATTATCTCTTTCATGGATTGTTTTTTTTTTTTCCCTGAGAAAATTGCATTTACTTCAGTACCTCTCATATTAACCCTTAATAAATTGGGGAAATAAAGAGACATATAAAAGAACAAAAACACACACACTACTGTTAAATGTTTCATAGTAATATCATAAATCAAACGATACACATTTTATTAACATATATGCACATTTACATTATTATTTTCAAAGACGGGGATTTAGATTATTAACAATTCATTTTAAAATACAGCAGTGTCCACTTGGAATGCAAAAAAATGAGTTAAATGCCAGCAACGTGGAAAAAAATTCCAAAGTTGGTCTAGTTTAAAAAAATCAATAAAATGTCTAGCACTCATTGCTGGTGAAGGGGCAGACCACACACACTTGTGCGATGTCGTCATATTCATATGTCCTCTTCAGAAACGTGTCGGTGAGTCTGAGTCCAGAAATACTCTGGAGACGAGAAACACAGAAGGAAAAGCCTGAGTACCCCTGTACTACACAAAGGTAGTAATCAGTGGCTAAGAATGAGGGGCGTGACCCATGACTATTTCAGGGTTGGAGTTGTTCAGATCAGAGACAAAATTTAAATCACTGCATTGGAAACTGTGGGAATTGGTGTTTTAACAGTTTGACGGAGGAATGACAGACTCGTGTTTTGCTTTACATGCTAATACAAACAGTAGGGCCGCCCCCTGGTGGTTTGTTCCCTAAATGTATACGACGATTGTTGCTCTATAGACGAGTGTTGTTTTAGTGCAGCTCCTACCTGAAGACCCTGTACAGACGACAACAGTGTGAGGGGCAGAGAGAGGAAGGCTGCAGGGCTGAGTTTTCCCAGCTGTCGTCCAGAGACACCACACCAGTGGACGGACCTGGTATTACACATCTCTAACACCAGGTCCATGGTTCTCTCACTGAAATAGAGGCAGTTATCAGTCCTACTCCCATCATCAGCTTTACGGAAGTTCTGTTTGTTTATTTGTTAGTAAGAAACAGTCGATTGTTTTTTTAAACCTGCAGTTGGTGATTTTACAGGTGATGTCAAAGGGCTCCTCGAGGTTGACCGTGTCAGGAATCGTCTCCAAAGACAACCTGATGTCGCCGTACCCTGGTGCCTGGAAGACAATGAAAAACAATAATAAGATAACAAAACAAATAAAAGCATAATATTTGTGGTATTTTTCCCATTAACATCCATTACCATTCTTTGGAGCTGACTGGTTTGTAGCCTCCCCCTCTCCCCGAGATTGGTCTTCCATACAATGTCGAGTTTTCCGATGACCGTCACACCTTTGATGACTCCGGCCTTCTCTGCGTACTCGGGCTTTGGCTTCAAACAGTACAGGTACTGCCGAGTGTCCATGGGCTGTAGGTAGGACATTTTCCCAAACGTGGACTCCCTGGCAGATAAACAGTGCAGATTACAGCAGGAAGTGACACACCGATAAATGAACCATTTGGACGTTCCTTACCCCTGATCTCCATGTGTGACTGTGTTGAGCTCTGTGACGTTGTACATCATGGACGGTTCTAAAGAGACCTTCTCCATGAACATTGGTGAAGTGGTGATGTTCTGGATCTGAGCCTCCAGGAAGACTTCGTCTGTCTGGAGCACAGATGACACAAGTCAGGCCTCGACTGTAGTCACTGGGGCCACATTGTTGCAAACTGTCCAAGGTGAACTGAGCAACATCTCAACTACTGTTGTTAGGATTGGGAGGGAGGTTTAGATATTATAAATGATACTGTCCTAAAAGATCAGAGGAGGTAACAATGACGAGCTAAAAACAATTAGCCTTTGGTTACTGTCCCTTTCAAGTGACCTCTAAAGGGAAGATTTATGAAATATCTGAAAAACATGACAATAACAAAACAATCAAAACTGGTGTAAAGAATTCACCCAGTGTTACCGGTTGGTAGAATGAGGTGTTTAGGGCAAAACTGCATCAAGGCTTATGGTTAAACAGGTGACAGTGGGATGTGATCTTTAAAAGTGTTGTGTGTAGACAACTATTCTGGGTGAAGTGAGGGTTGAAAACAGCGTGTTTAGACTAGAAAAAAAAAACTACTAGATTAATATCATTGATTTACACCTTAATACTGTTATTTTCCCACTCTTTGCTCAGTGCACCTTGGTGGACAGTGTTAGTACCAGCGTTGACCAGCAGTCTTCAGTCGGGGTCGCACAGTCATCAAATCACCTGTGGTCTCTCAAACATCAACTAGTTATGTGACAACTACACTTCTACTGTAAATGTAAATTAGTCGACTCTACATCTGAGTCATGTTGACATGTAGACGTAACAGAATGCATTTGAAGTTGATCTTACACTTTTTATTTCCCAAATATTGCAGGGAAATGTTAAAAAGAAAATATTGGTCTTCTGGGCCAAGATAGAAGTTCTTCTTTTACTCTTAAATCCAGGAGTAAATTCCCTCAAATTCATGAGAATAATCCAGTATTCTTTGAAAAGTATTATTTATATTTGTTATGTTCTACTTTTTGTAAAGCCGATGTTAAGGAACAAACCAAACGTTCCAAAGATTATGTCATTTCCAATACTATAGTAAGTATTTACATACACTCGATTCTTTTCCATAGTACTGTATATACACAATACTGCACAGAAAAATATTAATAGACTAGAGTGACTATTTCTAACAGTCAAACTGTGAGGATTATAATTGTTTGTTGTGGTTGTTAGCTAAAGTTACACTACAACTGATCACCACAGTCTTCACTTCAACACAAAGGACAGTCTAGTATAATAATAGTTGATGGTTGAGAAGACAACGGTTGAGTGCAACCTCCACTGTACGGCAGATCCAGTGACAGAGAAGCAGAGACCAGTTCATGTCTGCTATAAAACAGAAACAGTGCTGACAATGAACCGTTCTTCATCAGGTTAATATAAAATCACAGAGCTCAGCGTCAGGTTCATGCAAAGCCATTCCAACCAAAACCTGAAACCTGACACAGTCAAATCAATCATCATTTCCCCCATTATTTCAATATAGATTGTGCTTCGTTAGGCACTGATAATTAGACTGTGATTAGTTGTTTCGATCACAGTAAAAAAACTTAAGCCCAACAGCACAAAAGTGCAGGAATTCAACTTAAAAAATGTTCTTATCACTATTGATTCAATCTGTAGTTCTCAACCAGGGGTTCCCAGAACCTGAAAGGGTCTGAGGGCTATACTCAAGGGTCTACAAAATATTGTTGCAACAAAGATAAAATTCTATTTTAATATTTAAAGGGGTATATCTGCATAACTTTGTGACAATGTTTGTATAGTACGGTAATCCTGAAATGCTGCTTCAACTGGATTGAGAAACTATGATGACATTTATATCAAGTTTGGCTTTATGAAACACTAAAATGTAAGTGTTGTCATTCCAATGTCATCTGGTAGCATTAGTCGTTAGCAACATAAGTCAGTGAATGTGGAGGTTCTTGGTAAATACCATCCTCTGACCTCTAGTCAGTGAATGTGGAGACTGTATTTCTATAATGCGAAGATTCTTGGTAAATACCATCCTCTGACCTCTAAAAAGGTTGAGAACCCCTGGTCTGGATCCGACTGAAAAAATAACTAATCTCTTTTTAAATGATACATTGGATAATTAATGCAAACTGCAAGGATTAAAAATGACAGCACAAACAGTGCTGTTTGAAGTCTAAGCCCTGTAAAGAATGAGATGGCGAGACAAGCATAAGCGTCCACAGAGAGGGCAGAAGACAAAAATGGAAACTTCAGATTGAGTGTTCATGGCCACTGAGATAATTTTTTTTTTTTACTGGTTATTGTTTCTTTTTAAATATGTGTCAAAACCCTGCTTTCCTTTCCATTTTTTTCCATCGCACCTCTCTGTGGGGTCAGAGTTTGTTGCACCAGAAGAATTGGAAAAAAACAAACACTCAGCCAATGAGAACAGAAGGAACAATTACCACAGAACTGAGGTCACTCTAATGGAGAAAATAAAATACAGGACACAATAAAAAATGAGGTTACATGCCAAAAGGTGATGACAATGAACATTTGCAGTCACTAACACTAAAAGCTACTGAAATGACAAATGGAAACATGGAAAATTCTTGACCTCCAGGAATCGCAACCATTTTTTGTAAAATAATCTTCCTGGAGATTCAAGGTTTTCATGGAATACTACAAAATCCCTCTACTACCAAAAATAAAAAAAAAAATGATCTGGAGCAGGTCGAACAAAATAAATCTATTGGCAGAAAATGTAGCGAGTCTTACGTTTTCCTGCGTCTGCCGTTGCTGTACGATGATGGCTGACTTACCTCTGCATTGTAGAACTTTGTCTTGACGTCCAGCGGCTTCAAAACCTGATAGAAAATGGATTGCAAACGATTGGTTGAAGTTTTCTCACAAGACTCTTCCATCTTAAAACCAGGCAAAAAACCCCAAACTGTCTAAATCTGACAGACGACGCCGTCAGACGTCAGGCTCTGACGGCAGCTTGTTTCCAAACTGACTCTCACACACCAAATGCTGAGCCCTGGTGGTAATTAGATTCACCCAGTTGAAGATCTGTGACTTTTCGCAGGCCTCCTCCAAACGCACACACAAGTTCAACACTGTCACAATAATAAAGAGGGCACGGTGCTGTTACTCACCTGGAATTTAAAGAACTTTCGAAAATAGAGCTTTTCTCCGTACTGTGTGGTGTAACTGACCGCACACACCAAGCTGGGAATGGAGAGAAATGAAGAGACGAGTTCAACAGCAACTGGAACAACTGTTCACTGATGGTACTTTATATCTTTCACATCAGGAATATCAGAGTCTGTCAGAAAGATTTTTTTTCATTCACTACTATTCCTAGCAGTAAAAATAAAATCAAAAATAAAATGAGACCAAGTGGTTCACTGCAGCTCTAATGGACTCCATCGTGAAACACGGGAGTCAGTAAGCCACAAACACTCACATGTGTGTTCCTATTTCTTTGACTTCGTGATGAATGACATCATCGATGCAGCACTCGGGTTTAAGTTCTGCTACTGCTGAGTTTGACGCAGACAGGTTGAGTCTCTGTGAGCTGGTCTGTAGATCAGCCTGAGGAGAATGACATGAACGAACAATTCTGTGTTTTATCATTTATCATCAAAGTATATTGATATATAGTAGTCTGATATGTTTCATCTTTTAATTACCTTGACTAGAATGTCCTTAACAACCTGGTTGCTATCATTGTGAACACTAATGTAACTGGAAAACGTCTCCCCGAGGAAGATGTTTCTGTGTAATGAAAAAGTACAAGTGAAAGTGAACAAGTTTTAAAGTATTAAAAAAAAGATTTTTGAACGTGTGAAAACACTACCCAAAGTTCTGTGGTAACGTTAGCATTTCCCCCAGCATTAGCGTCTCTGCTCCTTTTATGGTAGAAGGGTCCTCCCTCATGAGTTGACTGAACAAATCACCTGTGGACACAAATCAGAAACATGAATCAAGAATTTAACACGGCATCTGATGTTTATATGGTTTTATATGAAGCAAGGAATTTTACTATAGCATTGTTGTTGTTTTAAAACAGCACAGAACCAAAGGTTTTTCAGCTGAGAAGGAGAGAGATAGATAGATAGAGGGGGTGAGGAGTGGGGGTTTGTGGGGGACAGTGAATTTCAATGGATTGTTGAAATCTTTCCACAATTCACTGTGCCCACTAACACATCAGGATTAAAGGCCGTGGGCCCAGGGCAGCGTGTGTGATGTGGTGAAGCTGATTACAGACATTTGAGATGCACACAGTCAGTATTTATAAGCCTGCTGTAGAGTCTGTGTATCCTGTGCAGTGAGGGTGGATCAAAGAGACAGAGGGAACACCTTTGAAGATCGGGTTACAAAGACTAAACCAGATGGATCACCGTTGGGTTTAAATTTCTGTCCTCTGTCCAACAGTGTGACCACACGTCCCGCGAGCTGTGATCTTTCCACTGTCAAATATTAAGATGTACAACCCATATGAACTAACTATCACTTTGTTTACATATTTTTAATACATTAATTATGTGATTGTATATGCATTTATTTTAAAAAGTCATGTGAAGTGGTAATAGAATTTAAAATCACATATCAGTCAATGTGGTTTTCTACATGATGTGTGTATGGGAATATATTTATTATAACTATTATCAAAAAGTATTTATCCATAATGAAATTATTTAATGGTCTCCTTTATGATAGAGGGAGATATGGAGGAGAGCCATACTCATCGATATTGAACGTGGAACTTACCCGGTAGATCTCGGTCCTCACATGTCACTGGCAGGTTTGTGAAGAGTGTCGGTTTCGTTAACCGCATCACTGTAAATGACAGCTGTTATTGACCTGACCGACGAGTGACAGTGAATAATATCAGATAAAAATAAGTTCCGCAGGATGGGCACCACAGCAAAACAATAAATAAAACAGAAACAAAACAATTTCATTTCCACAGATGTACATTATTCACAACCTGTCTGACACTGATACAGCCACGAGCAATGTACAACGTTTAAACCGATACCAACAGAAAAAGCGGGCTACCATTTAAAATTTCGACAAACTTAAATTGTACGATTTGTTGTCATTAATAAACGTTGTATAGCAGTAGTAGCAAAAGCTACGAGCAGCTAACGACAATAACAAACAACCTGCGGCAGTGAAACGTTGATTTTATCATTACACGTACATTCACAGTGTTTACTTTACAGTACAAAGTTTACTCCTATTTTATCATTACACATACATTCAGTGTTTACTTTACAGTACAAAGTTTAAAATACCTTTTAAAGCAAGTAAGTGCTCCTGTTTGGCTTGGTTTACATCCATTTTTAATGTAGAAGATAGTGTGTTAAGGGACTAGGCTAACTGCTAGTGCACTTTCACCCTACAGGAAACGGTTCCTCAGCGTTTCATTTGCTGAACACCTCCACCTACTGGTTAGGATGTTTAACAACAGTAGCAATACGTTTATTATGATACGTTTATTATTACTGTTAGTAATATTACTAGTAATCGTATTAGTAGTAATAGTAGTTGTTGTAGTAGAATGCATGCATTCATCTTCTCAAAATAAATTATGTCTAACTAAATTAGATTGGCCCATGAAAATAATGAGGATATTTGGGTATCAGATATCTGATTAATTAAAAATAATACCTAATTGGATTTGATTGAATTCAAGAAATATTTTCTACCTCAAGAGTTGTTTTGGAATGTATTATTGAATTTTTTTTCTTTCTGCACGAAATCGATTACGTCTCTAATTAGAGAGTCTGAAATACACTGACATCCAGTGGTTCAGTAGTGTATTACAGTGCTGTTCTTCTAGTATTGGAAAAAGAAATATCTAAATAAAAAGATTAAAATCTCTTGCAAAACCTTTATAATTCTAAAACATGTTTTATTTAAATTGGTTACAATGTTGATTTTCCTCTGATTTTAACATGTATTATACATGTTTGTGTTGGAAGGTTGAAGATTCCTGATAAATTGTTACAATGTTGAAGACAATTCAGTTATTAAAAATTGGTCACCTTTTTAAATCTAATATATTTTGAGACATTTTTTTAAAAAATTGCCTTTATGTTTAGAGTCAGGCATTTTTGAGACATTTTTTAAAAAAAATTGCCTTTATGTTTAGAGTCAGAAAAGACACAAAATGAAATGGAAAAATGTTCTCCCCAGGCCTGACATAGTAATAAGATGTAAATTAAAACAGAACTAAGACTTTCACCACACTGCAGGTTCAACCAATTTACTCTCTTTATACATAAAGAACATCAAGGCCTGTTGTTGTTCAAACTGTTTGTTACTTTAAATAAAAAAGATGTTCTCAGGACCAGGAACCATTGTTCTCTGTATTTTCCTGCTCAGAACAGTGTCTCAGTTTTGGCTGTGCACCAACAATGATCACAGAAAGAGATTAGATGTTTACTGACGACACTGTCGTTTTCATTGGTCATGCTAATATTCCATGCATTCTTCACATTTGTTTCTAAAAAACCCAAACATTGAGCCACATCTATGCAACACAATTGCTCAATAAAGGAGAATAGAATGTTGCAATTCTAATTAATATTGATACCAAGTGTAAGGTCTTTTCGAGACCCTTTGATCCACCGACTGCAGTGAACATCTGTATGGTTATGACATGACCTAGTTAAAAAAAAAACACTGTTATAAAAATTTAATTTTCTTTTTTTAAAGTGACGGTAACAACAGAGGCCACTGTATCATCCAATTTAGCACAGAGCTCCTGTGAGAAGAAAGGCTCCACAGTTTAGTGAGGGTCCAGGACTGTGGGCCGAGGCAGATGATCAGGGACGGTGACGCAGCTCTGTGTGTAATCTCATTTGACTTTGTAATTACAACATGCAAAGGTCAGGCAGGCATGAAGATAAGTGACAGTTTTATTGCAAATATCATGCGAGAGACGTTAACAGCGGAGCATAAATTACATTATGTCTTTGTGACAGCAACATGAATCAGTTCTCCACCTTCTGACCGGCCTGTCTGTGCGCTGACTGCAGTTGAAAGCCATTCTACTGAGGTTTCCATGGAACGATGGAAACGATGAAAAAATGTTCGATACTGGTACCAATACCGATACCTTCATTTTGATACAGTTTTCTGAACGATACCATTTTTGGAATATCAATTTATTTAATTTTTACACACACAAACACACATACATATACATAAATACATATACACATGTATATATGTACATACGTGTGTATATATGTACATATACATAAATATACACATGTACATACATACATGTTTCATACATGAAAACATATACACATTTATTTATGTACATATACACATGTATTTATGTACATATATATACATATACACACATACTGTATGTACATATGTATATATTTATATGCAATTTTGTATTTGTGCACATTCCTATATGTTTATGTATGTACACATATATGACCTCTTCCAGACATCTTTTCATGACTGCAGCCTTGGTCTAATCCTGTTTTCATTTTTCATTTTTCCATGAAAACTTTGCGGTCCAGTGTGTAATAATTTACGACATGTGATTGTGAGACTGCGTGTCACAACAAACAGTCGACTCCACAGTCACCATCACATACAGAACGTCAACAAACTTTGACTTTTCCTTCCATTGCCTTTTCACATGCAAAACTCTGTGATTTTACACTTTCCTTCCATTGCCTTTTCACATGCAATCCTTCCATTGCTTTTTCACATGCAATCCGTGTGTTGATCAACTTTTGGTCACCAGTATTTGTTCATTACCACAACACTGTTTATTTTATGGTTTGTATGGAGAAGAGAATGAATCTGTTTGCCTCAGCTTTAGGAGACATTTTATGACGCCGGCCTTATTTTATGTCACCATCATCAGAGCAAGTAATGAGCGTGAAAGTCAGTCAAAACGGTCAGTTTGTGTCACATTTGGGAAAAACTTAAAAGCCCGTCAGATCAGTGATAAAGATACATTTCATGGCAGATGAAAATATTGGACAAAAACATAAAAAATAACCCCCACTGGTGGAGGCAGATGAGAAAACATCAGGCCGTCATCAGGTCCAGTCTTCTCCTTAGGCCAATGGAATTATCTTTTTATGATGTCACGGCAATAATTCTAACAGTTGTTGAGGCATTTTAATCAGACCCCAGAGTCGGGCCACGGGCCAGACAATAAAGCAGTAGGTGAATGATGGCCACTGTCTTTGAGATTGTTGTTGTTTTTATGTTTTACGGCTCGTTTTATGTCTCATTTTATCGCCACTTCTACCATATCAGGATGGTGGAAAACTCTTCTGGCATTTTCAAAGTCGGATTCACTTCATCAATGCACAGCCTTTAGTTTTTGTAATGGAGAGACCAAGGAGTTGTAGGTCCAGGTGTATTTAACACAGTGAAAAAAAAATGACTGGGGTTGCACCAGAGCCAATCCAGTGACCTGAGTCTTTCCACTACAACCAGCTGCCCACGGGTCAGTCACTGTTGTGTGTAGTAGGTCAACGATGTCAGCGGCTTGTAGGAATTTTAATGACAGTTTTGTCTAATCTGATTATTTTATATTTATTTTAAAATCCAGTCACGGGCCAGATTGGACGGTACGGTGACCTGGATTCAGTCCACGGGCCACCAGTTGATAATCACTGCTATATGCTAGCTAATATCACTTCTCAGTTTAACGGAGAGTGGAACAGTTCATGTAAGAAGACAGTGTTATTCAACTGAATCAAGCCATTGTTGTAAAAGCTCTGCTCACTTTCTGTTCAACTGGCTTTGGTAACTATTTATAATGCTATTTTATTATTTCATTTATTTTATCCTTAATATAATTGATAGGTTGTCTAACGTGATGACACCGTCAATTTGAAGACAAATAATTTAATACAGAAATTTTATTTTCATTTTGGCTTAAAATAACGTTGTTATTATTGAGAAGAAAATAAAACTGGCTGAAAACTTTACTGTGGTTTTAAGATGAGTTCAAACGTACACACTGCATGGCACATATTTATGATGAAATCGGAGAGCGCACACACACACACACACACACAAATATCCAGTGAGAGGCTGAAAAGTTAACAAAAGGTGAGATTTAAAGTTGAGCTTTAAGTTTGAACTTTCTGACAGCTCTTCACCAGAAATGTCAGTTCCTTAGCTCCAGTTTCCTCAACTGGACCTGGAAAATATGTGGATGGTAACAGTGAGACAAAATAAATAACAAGATGGTTGGGACATGCAAGAAGACGCAGAAGTCAAACTGCACTAAATCTGCCTGGAAGTAGCAGGAAATACAGTACAGTACCCAACTCCAGCTGCCAACCTGACAGGACAGGTGATTAAAAAAACAAAAATGGAATGATAATTAAATCTCAGTTGTGAATAGACAGAACTGCAGCTGTTAAGAAGAACAAGAAGAAGAAGAAGAGGGAGAAGATGAAGAAGAAGGAGAAGAAGGAGAAGAAGGAGAAGAAGAAGAAGAAGGAGAAGAAGGAGAAGAAGGAGAAGAAGAAGAAGAAGGAGAAGAAGAAGAAGAAGGAGAAGAAGGAGAAGAAGAAGAAGAAGGAGAAGAAGAAGAAGAAGGAGAAGAAGAAGAAGAAGAAGAAGAAGAAGAATGAAAAGAAGGAGAAGAAGAAGAAGGAGAAACACAGGAGCTTGATTAATGTTCAGGTCGGGAGAAGCCGCCTTCTGTGGAGACAGCGCTGATCCAGAAGTTCTTCAGCGTCAGAGTCAGTGCCGGTCAAATTCCACTGAGACAGAGAAGTCCATAAATAGACCTGTTATGAGCTGAAAACCACTGAAGACCATTAGACAGGGAGCATCATTACAACAGAAGCAGAGCGTTTGAGCTCAGACAAGGAAACTAAACCATCAATAATGAATAGTGTTGGAAGGCAAACCAGGCCAGATTAGCATACACCCTCCACCCAGACAATACTGAGGGTGATCACAAAGAAGTCGACTGCATCGTGTAATTCCTCCCAGACATGGAGAAGGAAACAGGAAAATCCTCTGAAGGTGGAGAGAACACAGTAAATACGGCTGTAAATGAGCACACCGAAGTTAGGAAGAAAAACATTTCTTATTGATGATAATCACTAGAAGTGTGAACGCCTGAGAAAGTTGTGATTCCACCCAGTACTGATGCAGTACAGGAAGGAGAAAGATCAGATATACAAGTAGTGGAAGGTACGACGGAGCCCGTGAGTACTGAGGAAGGGTTCAGAGACAGGACAGAGGCAACAGGATGCACACGGACACGTCAAACAACTCACAGGCTGTAGCCACAACAACAGACTTTCATCTCCGTCTCCTGCCTCACAGCAAACAACGGCCAGAGAAAAGACAATAAGACAGCACATCAAACAGACAACTACAGCAAACAAAGGCATGACAGAGGAGACGCCGGACTCTGAGGTTTTCAATGTGGATAAAAAATTAAAAAAAAAAAAAGAGAGAACTTATTGAACACCCAGGGTACCAACTCAGAGACTGACGCTGGGCTACCATTTATAAATATTTTTTTCCTTAATTTCCCAAAGGGAACTCCCAAGGGATTAATACAGTTCTACCTATCTATCTATCTATGTTATCTATAAAAAAAAAAGTAGGGAAAAAACCCCCAAGATTCAGCAAAACAAGTGGAAAATAAAAGGTAGACCAGCAAATCCACACATGGAAAACCTCTCTCTGACCTGAGGACGAAAGAATCCACGTCAGCACTTCAGACTAAACCTTCAGGGCTCAAAGAAAGAAGGGAGAGAGACAAAATAATGAAGTCCTGAAGTGGAAGAGACAGGGTCTCACTTCTGTTTTCAGAGGCTTTAGGGACCGTTCATAAACACCAGGATGGGTCAAAGAATTCTGAGCTGCAAAAAGAAAATCATAAATATACTCAATCATGATTACAATCGAATTTTTCAGGATTAATCGTACAGAAACCAAATGATTTTTTTTTTCAGTCAGATGCACACTCTCTCTGCCTGGTGTGTGCTCATTTGCTCCCTCTAGATGCAATCAAATTTCACAAATTTGCCATCATCAGAGAGTCGCTAGCCATAGGTAGGAAACCCTCAGAACTCTATGTATGTATGCATGTACTACGTAACCATGTTTCTGCAGTATTTTCTGGCCTTTTAATGAATGACTTCAAGAGTATTTATTTACAACTGTAAATGTGGTTTTTAACACCGTCCCTCGAGGCGGCCACCAGTGCAGTGCGTCCTTTCTGGTGGCTTGGGAATAAGCTAGCCGTCATGGCTGAATAAGTCCAAAAAATGTCCCTGCCTTCTGCACAGCTTCTGGTATATATAAATACTTGGAAAAAAGTAGTTTGAGTTTGACCTGCATCAGACCTTTGCACAGTACCCCACATGTCCCACATGGGCCTGGTCACGCTTGTCATCACTGATTTTACTGATGAAAATTCCCCGCCACAGTCCACAGATGAGACCCTGCCACTGTGCACAGGTTTTCACATCGCACTGAAGCTGCATGGAAAAATCAAAGCTGCCTCCCCCCCTGGGGCGTCTGTGAATACACCTGAGGGGAGATGAGACCCACAGAGAGAACACACATCTGTCGCCAACTACGATAACAAGCAGCCGAATAATGAGGAATAGTCTGTTATGTCTGTTGTTTTCATTGTTCCGTCGTCACTCACAGAACCAACAGAGATAAGACACTGAGAAAGGAGCGTTTCCTCACTGAAAAAGGAAGGTCAGGTCGGACAAATCATCAAACATGGATTTGTTTGACTCTAAAATATGTTGGAAAAGTACAAACATCTTCCATAGGGGGAAACGTGGTGGGGCGGTGGTGAGTGCTCTTGCCTTACAGCAAGAAGATGACCTGTTCAGCCATGGTGGTTTACCAGGGTCTCCAATAAACAACTCAGCGAAAAACCAACAGGAGGTTACACACTGACGCCCCCTGTGGGTCAGTCTAAATATTAGACCATTCAAGCAGCAAAATACGGATGGCTCGATACAACTATTTCTTGGAGTATCTGCCGATACCAATAGCCTCTTTTCTTTTTCTCTCCCAGCATGCCGCGGGCTGCCGTTGCTGAGGACACAGTGAAATCATCTGACATTGAAACAAAGGCATCTGTACAAAACATTTATTAGAAATTTACATAAAAACATTTTTTTTGAAAATTGCATAATTTAAATCTGAAATTCATGGCAGGCAAAAAAAAAGTGAATAAATGTTCTAAGAGCAATGCTGAACAGGAAGTCTGTACAAAAGAGAAGAGTTTAGGACTTTTGTTGAAATATGTGAAGGTGAAAATACAACATTTTCAAAGTAACAAAAAGACATGCTGTACGCTCAGTCGGACGAACACCGAAGCCTGTCGATCACTTCGATGATACTCTAGGAAAAGGTGGGAACAATGCAAAACAAAAACAGTACAAATAATTAGTATAAGCAGTGTATAGTGGCCCAAAAAGTACATGCAGCCTTTAGTTTCATCGTCTGTCAATAGAGGGCAGTGCCAGCACTGTAGCATCTCCCTGCAGTAACAATATATATCTCTGTAACATTTTATACACAAGAGACTGCAGGAAGACTGGGAGAAATGTTAATTTTTACAAATGGAGTTTGTAACGCACAAACTCTCAATTTACTTTAAACTTCACCGTTTTTTTTTTGTTTTTTTTTCCCGTTTTCCTGATTAAAACACATTTGATACATACACAGCGGGGCTTCAATGCAACTTGTCCACAGTGAACAGAAATATAGGGCAACGCATTTTAAAATGTTCTATCTTTTTATGGCGGTCAAATTATTACAATTTTTAATCTGATTAAACACTGGGTAGATGTGGATTAATCACAATTAATCATGATTAATTGTGATTGTAATTAATTAACGTTGCTACATGCCATTTTTTCTGTACATCGCTGGAACAGAGAGACTTAACAGCAGCTGAATAACTATTATGTGTTTTCAAGACAAATATGGACAACCATAATTTTAGCTTCATAGAGTTGGTGGATTTTAGTGACTGTGCATTTCCATCTGTGATTTGTACAATGTGTCGAGGGTTCGGTGAAGCCGTTGTCCTCGACGACGTTAATCAGTCTACAGTTCCTCACAGTCCGATTGACAGTAGTGTCAGTCAGCTTGTCGGTTGTAGACTTATTTACTGCCCTGTGCTCGGTGACCGACCTGAAGTTGAAGCCTCAACAAACACACGCTGGGCGTCAGATGATATTTTTATCTTTGGTGAAACAAAGACTCTTTCTTGTAGTGTGCATAAATTACAACATGTTCATTGACTACGTATTAGAGAAAGTAGTTGGATAGTTATGCCCATGTGTTGACATATGTTAATAACCTGATTAATTTAACAAAAGAATTGACTTGACTAACGCCAACATTCTTAGCTTCTTTTACTGAACCCAGAAAAGCTTCCTTCATCTTTAGTCTCTCGACTTGGACTAAAACAACCAGTACCTGTGCCTCTAGTCACTCATTAAACTGATGTGATTGCAACACAACTCTCCTCCTTCCAGAGTCCAGACAGTGAAAGGTTTAAACAGGAGCTCGTGTTAAGAAATGATTTCTGCCACGAGCAGGACTTTACCTGAAATCAGTCATTTTGCCCTGAGGCTAAGCATCGTCACCACGCCAGCAGAAGTCGGTTTATGTTTCAGGGTCAAATTTGGCAAAGGTATAAATAAAGAAGGATTACTTGTAACTCTGTGAAACAATAAATATATCAATAAATAAAAATGACCTTGGAAGTTTTTCAACTCAAACTTTTTGGAAGCGCTTTTGCTGAACTCTGGACATTTTGTTCCAACAGAAACCGTGTGTGTGAAATTCCTTCTTGTACTTCTTTGTCCGTGTTAACATCGATCGGGTAGAAGATTGAATTATGTTTGTATCAGGTTAGTTGCTACTTTCTTAGAATGAAATTATAGTAAAAAAAAAAAAAAAGACACTAATGTAAATACCTTTCAACAGACAGCAGTGAACGTTTCTGATTAGTAAGGCTGTACAGAAATTGTTGGCAACGATCTCCTGTCAGGTTAAAGCTCGATGACAAATATAAGAACACATGGACCGACGAACACTCGGGCTGACGAACACTCGGACTGACAAACACTCGGACCGACGAACACTCGGACCGACAAACACTCGGGCTGACAAACACTCGGGCTGACAAACACTCGGGCTGACGGACACTCGGGCTGACGAACACTCGGACCGACGAACACTTGGACTGACGAACACTCGGGCCGACGAAAAACAAACAAAACAACACGATGCGTTAACTCTATTCTTTACATCCTACATGTGCCAGAGGTCAGTGCATTAGAGAGGCACAGTATTAGTGACACAGCTAATGCCACTCATACAAACCAGTGTATATCCTTGTCTCTGCTGAAGGTTCAGCTGTGTGACACACGCACACACACACACACACTCAGAGACGTCTTCATCTTTCAGTATTCTGGCTGCACATTGCTTTGCTACAGCAAGAGACAGATGGCGCCACTCGTGCCCATGGACGTTGACGCCTTCATGGTAATTTTTTTTTGCCGTGTTATAACCGCAGTACTGAATTTGTCCACACAATTTTTTCTTCATGGAGGATTTTACAAGACATTTGTGTGTTTTACACAGGCAGTCTGTTTGCAGCATTGATCGCTTTGACTTGAGCTTACCCTTTTTGTGTGTTTTTGTTTAATTTTTTGTTTGTTGTCTTTTTTTTTTTAGTATTTACTGGCTTTTGAATGCGTGGCTGCACGGCCACAGAGAGGTAAGCCTGTTCAGACGGCACAGCGTCCACCTGCAGCGTCTGTGTGCTTCTAGTTTCTCTGGTTTTTAAATATGTTTTCTTCATTCTTGGTGGTGTTCTTCAGGGCGTGTCTGCGTGCCTGTAGTAGCCTCTCTGCAGCGCCGTGGAGGCGATGCTCTCGGCCGAGCGTCGCTGGTCCATGCTCAGCAGGGTGTTTAACAGGTTGTTGATGTCGGCCTTCAGTCCCTGCCTCTGCATCCAGTTCTTCAGCAGTTCATAGACCTTATCACCCGGGGGGCCGTTTTCCGCGATGCGGATGTGATTGTCGCTGACTCCAAGCATTCTGAAGAACTTGTTGTGGACCCGAACATCCAGGTACTCGTCGAACAAATCAAAGCTTTTCTTCAGGGACTTTTCGGACCCTGGTACGAAACAGACAAAAACAAATACGCAAATAAGACTTTTCCTCCCTCCTTTTTTAGTGTGCAGTTTACAGACAAACATACTTTGTTTGTCCTGCATCTGTGGTACCTTTTACTTTCACCTACAATATTTATCTAAATTGTGTTTGCAGGTCCTTTTTTAATTTTATTTTTTTTATATATTCATTTTCTAAAATGTATTTACTCTTCCACTAGGTGGCAGCAGATGGCTGGAAAACTCAATTTCTGTGAATATATCGATGTTGTGTTCAACTAAACAGGACCAGGTATCAGGTTGAGTAAGTAAATTGTGAGTCAATTACTTGTTTGGTAGAGAGCCATAGGATATTCCTGATGTACAGTTTTTGCCATGGCTCAAAAAAGGGTTGGGGAACACCGGTGTAGTTGATGCTAACACAATTCAATTAGAGCATATTGTAGCTAAAGGAACAACTTTGAGAAGAAAAAAAAGAAAAAGATTTTCTCATTATTTTCCTGCACAGTTTCCTCCACTGCATAATGGATTTATAATAAAATAATGACAACCACAATACAACAAATAACACTCAGCAAATAGGTGGAAAACAATAATAATGATGCAACAATAAATCCATTGTTTGTACAGGAGTTTCAGAACAATAAGCACATTTCCCACATTTCAGTGCATTTTCCTCAAGAGGCTGCACTTTAGGGGTAGGTAAAAATATCATTTCAGCAATGAATTGCCTAATTCAATATTGATTAAATAAATAAATAATTTTTTTTCCCCAAAGTTTTTTGTAGTCTTACTATTTAACTGTGGACTTCTACTTCATACTGAATCGATACCAAAGTGAATCAAATCGTCAAATTCTAAGCAACACTGAGCCTTAGCACACGTGAAAACCTCTTAAGATGAAACAATCCATCAAACCAAGTTGTTTTTCTCCCCGAACTGGA